GCATAGATTTATGATGTATTACGTGTAAGACCCCATTACGAAATATACACGATAGTGTGTGACGTTTATCAAAAAAGTAATTATCATAATTATAGAACCGTAACTTAAAGAATTATGACGTTGCATCTTCTATATTGTATTGTATAGTAATATATGTGTTTTCCTCTTGTTTATCTCTTTAAAATAGAAGAAAAAAAAAAGGCAACCCGCAGTTAACGTTTCCAAAGTAAATTGTAGTTTAACCCTGCAGCTTGGATAATTGCCATTAATCATTAAAATTTTACCTGAGAATTCGCTCAGAAAACATTATTTTATTGTTGTTTTTGCTTTAAAAATAGCAAAAATAATTATTTAACAATTACAAATAGTTTATACGAAATACAGGGCTTAATTTTCATACAAACTAGTGCTATAGTTTAGGCCCTCATCGTGTTTAAAGACCCGAAGACCATGACTTGAGAGTTAGCAGAAAGAGGGGCCCGAAAATATATATTAAACTTCACTAGTTTTTTAAATAATAAAGGAGGCCCTTATACATTATATAAATTAAAGCCACGACGAATCTAAATTATTCAGTTACCAATAATTAAGACCCAATTAAATTTTAAAATACTCTACTATCGCTTTACTTACCCATAAAAACTTTTTAAATTGTAATAATTTTAATTACACTCCTTACGTTTTATAGGGAATAGAGTATCAATAGAGATTAAATACCGAATATAATTGTTATTTAATACGTTTACACTTCAATAATTCGTATCGCAGACTTATGACCCATTTCCGGTTTGCTTATATAATCGATTATCGATAATCAAACACATCGATAATCTCGTGTAAAACGTAGAAGTAAGCCAATTTACATAGAAAAATACATACCAAACAGTCGTCACGTGATTCACACGTAGGATGAAAAACACCTCCCCCCGAACACTAGGGGGGAGGTGTTTTTCATCGACGGTTCAGTCCCACCAACGACACTAGCCACGTGGAGTTTTCACGTGTCTAACACTTGAATAAGGGAGCAATTTCACGCGAAATTCGTCCCCCCCCTCTTGGCATGCAACCCGTTCGTTACGCTGCCTCATCCCGTAAAACAATACAAAACACTACACGGGTAACATAATTAAATATATAAATTAAATACAAACAATTTAATGTACTTAAGACGTTTTTCCGGAATAAAATTCCACATTATTATTATTTTATAACAATATAAACTACTTGTAATTATGACTGTATCCGTCCTTGCTTTGTGAATGCACGTCTAATACACCAGGAAGTGTAATTATTTTATACACCGGTACATTCCTGGATATCCTTATTGACAATGGTAATGATGCCTTCTATCGATGCCAGATTCGAAACAAGGACATGGTAAAAACGGGGTGGGGGAGGGAGAATAACCCGCACGAGCTACTTCGGAATTATCCTTTCAAACACGTGATCGCTATTGCCTTTAGGATATCGTATCGGCAGTTTTCGAGTGGATAAACAAACATCCGTACGCTTTTAATCGCAATCACAAGATCGACAGAGTTGAAAGGTCGTTTTTGGTGACTCTATATACTTTTTAAACGTTCTGTAATACATTTTGTGTTATGTGTTTATCAATACAATTGCCGATATGTTATCCGGGATGATGTGTATTGACGTCATACTTGTTAAAAAATTTGGAATGTTTAGATACGTGGAAAGTTTAGAAATTTTAGACACTTCGTAAACTGTGTTTTTTCTATTGTTTAGCACCTATAGGGCCGAATTTTGCACATAAATTGAGCAAACTGTAGCTTAGGGCCTGTATTTTTACGTGTATCGTTATTTGGTGGAGGGAAGGGCCTTTAAAATAACTAAGGGCCTCACATTTTTACACGTATCATTTGGTGAAGGGTAGAGCCTTTAATATAGCTTAGGGCCTCACACGTATGTAGTGGAGAGAAGGCTCTTTTATACAGCTTAAGGCCTCACATTTTAAACGTATCATTTGGTGAAGGGTAGAGCCTTTTATACGTTCCATCTCAGGACCACAACAACCCTAATTCTAGTCTTAAGCGTTATACAGATCTTACATTAGTGATAAAAAGTAATCAATAAAGAGGATGATAAATGTCCATTTTGTATTGATAAACTTTTGTAAAATACGAATTAATTTCAATAATTATTTTGTAAACTTATTTCTCCATTTCGTAGAAGTTAAACAATTCAAACTATTGTTAAAACACCTGCTCTCACACACCTTCCATCCAGCCGCCTTGCAGTACAGTACATATGTACTTAAAGGCAACAAAAAATTCGTAAAATTTGAAAAATCTGACGTCAAATTCAACATAAGCAAAACAGGAGATTAACACATAAACAATTTCGATGACGCAATAATAAAAATAACACGGTTAATTATTACGTCATCGAATAATTTAATTTGCTATATCATTATTCCGTTTAAAAAAAATTAGAATGGGGTGAATTTAGAATCGTTCAAAATGCCCGAATTATAAAATAATAGGCCCTAATTAATATGCCATGTCTCTCTCTATATATATATGCAATTATATGCAATCAAACTACACGTGAAAGGATTAAGAAAAATACATATGTGTATATTTTTTTCTATGTAGATAGAAATTACATGTTTTCACCAGACTGATAGCCCAATTCCAAGGACGTATAAGTGTGACGTAAACTATCATTCAGCCACGTGACGTCAAATAAGCTATAAAGACGGGATAAAAGATTGCATTCACTCCCAGTCTGTGTATGTTTTGGTGAGAATTCATAATTCAGGTAGGTCGTATACATTCGCAAATTACACTTTTATATCCTCTTAAGTTATACTAGGCCCTCCATATGAAAAAAAAAATACACATATATATATATATAGGTTAAGGTCTCGTCCTCTTTTATACTGTTTTATGTAAAATCTGAGCGTTAGTTTATAAATTCCATCCTTGAGTAGAGGTTTGCCGTGTAAATAAAATGATAAAATTGCATATTTTAAAGTTAAAAATGTCGAAAAATATATTTAAAACACGATTTTTAAACGTAAAAGTGATTTTTAAGTGTTATTAAAACCGTTGTATTGTTTTCGCGTGACGTTTTTTAAAACTGACAAATCGCGTTGTTGTTAGTTTAATACGTAACTCGTCTATCGAAACGATTGGTTAATTTTAAATTTAAAAACAAGTCTTATATTATTCTCCGGAGAAGGGAGGATATTAATCACTGTTTATCATCATCAATCTCGAGTTAGCTAATATAAACCGGAAGCAACAGATAGTGTCAACACGACTCGCGCTATTTCCGCTGACGTCGAATTGACGTAAGCACAAGGGGGGAGGGGATCTTTTCGTAGAAAATAATTATCCGGCCTTACCGATTTAGTCAATCGGGAATTTATCCAGAAAAGTTTACCCAATAGTTTTTCGGATGCGAGAAATAAAATATATTTACTCGAAAATTTTGGCAACGAGAAAACCAGAATTCAAAATTAACTTAATCCGATAGAAACAGGAGGAAGGAGGGGAGGGAAGGATACGATATTTATACAAACGGGCATTTATGGCGGCGGACATGACCATATACTACGGCACGAAATCTAACCTTTTGTTTACCGAAATCACCTTAAGTATAATTGCATTGGTTTATCTAAAAATAAACCTTATGGCCCGTAACCAAAATTTTCTACCGGGGAAACCAAGATGTAGAGCCAGGGTTTGTCCCGTACACACAAACAACGCTAATCTTTAGTCATGAATGGTAGAGTAGCGTCGTTCCTGTTCAACATTTTCTGCATCGATGTACGAGTAAAAACAACCGCAATCAAGACAAAACTTGCTAAATGCGGACAAGCCTCGCGCCGCTTCCATTTCAGCGGAAACGTATTCGGTAAGTGGAACGTTCGGATGCGTGACGTCACACAAACGACGATGACGTTCGGAATTTTTAGTATTTCGAGTAAATTTAATTACTGTATATATTTTTATTTGTTTTTCTTAAGTGTTGCCAGTCGGTGTTAGATCATATATATATATATATATTTTTTAATGTCTATTAATGATAACTGGTAGCGTGTTTAATGATCTCTACCAGCTGTCAAAACTTAAACTTAATTTAGTAAATTGAATGGCCTTGGGTGTTGTGCATTTCTTATCGAAAGAAACAGCGAATGGTTTTTTTCCCCTTTCTTCCCCGATACCGATATCGATCGAACGAAAATCGGTTCTGTGCTTTATGGATGACGTTAATACGTTAAAGGATTGCGTCATTGGATAAGGCACTTTTTTTCCCTTCTCTATAAAATCAATGGCAATCGTGGTGTAGACATGTTTTTGACAGTAAGATTTCTCTATAAACGTGATGTTAATTCTTAAAAATATCGATTTCGGAGTGGTAATTAAGCTCCATTTTCTCGAATTTTTGGTGTACTTTGAAATGATTAAATAAATCGGGAAATTCGGCCATTTCGATGTAGTCGCGTCTGACGTAAGACAGTTTCTAGATTCTCATTCCTACAATAGTATCTGGGACGAACTTCGTTTACTCATCTTCAACCTTAACAATGACCTGGACATATAGATCCATAAAACGCTATTAAAGTACGTTTAAGGCAGCGAATCAATCGATCGTAAGAGGGCGTTAAACGTCGCTTTCTTTAAAAAAAAAACTAGATTTCTTTTTTTTTCTAGAATATCTTCTAGAAAATCTATCGTTTTTTTTAATTTTAAACTCGTTACTATTTATCGTCCTCCTATTTATTAAACAAAAAAAATATTAAAGAATTCCGATCGATCGGCTCCACCACCAAACGAAAAAAAAAAATAATATAATAAATAAATAAAAAATAAAGTTGGCAACTCGACATTACTTTCGATATCAAAATTGCACGTATTGGCATGGAAACAGGAGCGAAGCATGTTAAATGCCAATCGACCAATAGCGTAACGAAAGTAGAGGATGACGTGGACGATGAACCAATGAGAAGCGAGTGATCACGTGAACGAAGTAGATAATAAAAAGGATATCCGCGAACAAGGGGACAATCTCTGCGCGCTTGTCAAGGGAAAGGATCTATATGAACAAAAGGGTTTACGACGTTCGTTCTCTATCACAGCTAACTGTGTCTAAAAGTAAATTATTTAAAGCCATCGAACCGGGAATCAGGTGAGTTTCTATCTTTTTTTGAATGGAGAAATTGACATTTTTCATTAAAGGCATGAAAGATGCGGATGAAGGTTCTTGGCATCTTGCCTGTTGCTATACTCTTGACTATTTACATGTTAATTGATTCATGTCCCAATTTCTCTACTCATAAATATATTCCTGGATTGCTCGTTTCCATTTTTAGAACCTGAGATAAACAAATCTGAGAAAAATCGATTATTTGAATTACTCTCTCTTTCTCTTCTCCTGGATGATTTGACCCTGTTTTTTCTTTAATATAATACTCAGAATGTCTTGTTTGTTACAGGTAACAACAACTACATGATGGCAGTCGATAGAAAAGCCCTTCAGAAATATCTTGACTTACCTCAGCCCGAGGATAGAGTCCAGTGCATGTACGTGTGGATTGACGGCACGGGAGAGAACCTGAGAGCCAAGACGAAGACCGTCAACTTCGTACCGAAAGATCCTAAAGGTAACGTACGACCGGATGCGTCGGCGGATTCGGTCGTCGGTTCGGGTGGCTAATTTTTGGCACGTTCCGCAGAATTACCGATCTGGAATTACGACGGTTCCAGCTGTTACCAGGCGGAAGGTTCCAACGCCGACGTGTACCTGCATCCCGTGGCGCTGTACAACGATCCTTTCCGCAGGGGAAACAACAAATTGGTGTTGTGCGAGACGTATAAATATAATCGTAAACCTACAGGTATTCGTTTTTCCTTCTCCCACGTTCGGGTTTTAAATTTTATATAATTAATGCCTTCTGTCTTCCTCTTTTTCTAGATTCCAACCATAGAAAAACTTGTCTCGAAGCGATGAACCAAGTTAAAGATCAGCATCCATGGTTTGGTATGGAGCAAGAATACACTCTGCTCGATTCCGATAACTATCCTCTCGGTTGGCCTAAGAACGGTTATCCCGGACCTCAAGGTAAATGTTTACGTCGAAAATAAGTGATTAATCGTATGTACGTTTTCTAAAATGGCTCGTAATACTTATAGGACCGTACTATTGTGGTGTTGGAACTAACAAGGTCTATGGGAGAGAAGTTGTAGAAGCTCATTATCGAGCATGTCTTTATGCCGGTATTAACATAGCCGGAACAAATGCAGAAGTTATGCCTGCTCAGGTATAAATTCAATATATAACTTGCTTGGGTGTTTATTGTCGAGGTATGTAAATAATAATTTCTGGATTTTTCAGTGGGAATTTCAAGTTGGACCATGTGAAGGTATAAATATTGGCGATGATTTATGGATGGCCAGGTTTCTCCTTCATAGAGTTGCAGAAGAATTCAATGTCGTCGTCTCTCTCGATCCCAAACCCATTCCCGGTGACTGGAATGGTGCAGGTAATCACACCAATTTCAGCACTCAAGCTATGAGAGAAGAAAATGGAATAAAGTAAGTGTATTTGTACAATTTTTTATCTTTTTATTGAAATTCTAACTCACAAAATAACTTTTTTGTTTTCTATTTAAAGAGCAATTGAAGATGCAATTGAAAAACTCAGAATAAACCACAAACGTCACATCATGGCCTATGATCCAAAACAGGGAAAAGACAACGAACGTCGTCTCACGGGCAAACACGAAACATCGAGCATTCACGATTTCTCTGCGGGAATTGCCAACAGAGGAGCAAGCATACGCATCCCACGACAGGTGGCAGACGAAAAAATGGGCTATCTAGAGGACAGGAGGCCCTCGTCCAACTGTGATCCGTACGTCGTCTCCGAAGCACTCGTCAGAACAGTCTGTCTGGGAGAATAAATCGCACCAGATTCCGAAAACACCCGTATTCAGATCCAGTCTAGCGTAGAAAAAAAAAACTTAGTTGTTTTTTTAATATTTATGTAAATACTGCTGCACTCTTTTATTCTCTTCCTTCAGTTTAGCGATTCCCATACTAGTTGTCCATTTTTTACAAAACACGTTTCTGAAGTTTCTATGTTATTTTATAAATGTACTGTATTTAAACATTGGCCATTTTTATTTGGCCCATTTTTATGTATATATAGTATACGACTGTAATCAGACTGTCAAGTTTGTTGTGCAAAAGAGGAAATAAAGTATTAAAATCTTAAAGTATAAAATATATAGAAAATGTTAACACGCTTAGAAATCTACTGCATTTTCTATACTTGCCGTAAAATTGTCCGAGTAGAGAAAGCGAGAGAATTCTTAGCTTTCCCGATCTCCATTAAAAATAGCTGAAGTTTATAATTGTATTCAAAAAAAAAAATTCAAATTTAATAGCTTCTTTCTTAGATTATTATAAAACAGTTATATAAATTATTTGACATGTTTAGTTTTTAAAATATCTCAAAAATCTGGACTGATGTATTCAAAGTATTACATTTTGGTATTTAATCGAACAAGCTACTACAGTTAAACCCATTGTTAAAGGTGTATTGTTTAGAACTTTTCCCTCACTCAAATGTATTTTCTATATACAAATTTAGCCAGCATTTGTTGTCACGCTGTTTAATAAAAAAGAATAATTTGCTCACTTATTCATGATTTAACAATAGAGATATTTTGAAATAACTTTTTAAAATTGTCTATTGTTACAACCTTCATTTTTTTTTAATATCCAAGTAATGCTTTGGATAATTAAATAATTTCAAACAAAATTGTCTATTCTTAACATTAAATTTTTATTTTGATAAGTTTTTAAAAGTTTAATTGATTGATCAAAAAAAAATTGCCCATCCAATAAAGCTACTAAAGACACTAGTTGGATTCTACATGGGATAAGAGAACAAGAGGCTATGTTGAGCCCATTTCTTACCTGTCCATTGCTCTTGTAATGGGCCTGGCCAAATTCCACGATGGTGCATAAAATGGTCATCACACTGCATCCTCAAAAGGGAGTTACAATAATTTATTGTCTTGCAAATATAATTTTCTCAATGTAAATTTAGTTCAAATTGCTTCTCTCTAAGCAAAAAATTCAGGCTCTGTTTGTTATCAGGAGCCAACAAACTAAACAGTTCTCTAGAAAATTTCTCCTATTTTCTGGTAAACAAAAGAATTAATTTTCTAAAATGTTTTTGTCAAAAGAATGAATTGGATTTATGTATATTTGTATGTGATAATGCTCATTGTAATGAAATTAAGAAGAAATTATTGAACTGTATGTAAGTGATAAAGGCATTTCATAAAGTTTTACTACACCGATTACAATTAATTTTCTCATTTCTAAATTATTCAGTCAAAATGACAATATATTAGGCTGGTTTTTTGAACTTTTGTATTTTGTAACAATCATATTCTTAACTGATTAATGATATTCAGAAACAACAGTTCATTTTAATTGCATAAACAAAATGAAGTTAAGCATGTTTTTCACTAAATATTCAACAATACATTGTGTATGGTCCTGTCAGACCCTTAGATTTTTATTTGACTTCTACAGAAATAAGGATCACTTCCACTATTAGATAATGTACTAACAGACATTTCCCAGAAAAGTTAGAAGTACAGCAGAAGTTTTATAATTGCTTTGTGACTCGCTTGTACCAATAACATAACCTATGGTAAAATAAGACCATTGTTAGTGGAAATTTTGGTTTTTATTGACAATGTCAGATACAAGTACTCCCTATAACAAGTGGTTTCCAAACTTTCTATACTTTTGTGCCCCTCAATTTTCGTAATGATTAATTTTATAAATACTGTCGTTATAATTTATATAATGGCCTACAAAACAATATACCTTATTAAATAAAGAATATTGTTCGCCGGGGCCAGAGTCGTAGAGATATTTCGGCAAAAGTGTGGATGGATTTTTAGCACATTCATATCCGCGTTGTTCAGACGAGGATGGTGAATTAGGCATAAGTGTTTTGCTGATGCATTTTTTGACATTTTTGTTTGTTTGTATTTAAAAAAATGATAATTTGGTAAAAGCTGTGCAGCCCACAGATTGGAAAACACTGAATTAGCATATATTTGAAGAAATGCTGGCAATTTAAACTATATTGTAAGCAATGGACATTTGACATTTAAAGTACTAGTTAATACTGATGATAATTGTACATCAGCTAAATATTGAGATTGACAGTGCAAAAAACAGCTTAAAAATGCCCAATTAAAGATAATACCAAAAATTAATTTCAAATAAACAAAGTTTTATACCTATATAATTGGGACACTAATATGGTAACAATAAGCAATTTTTACTGAATATCAAAGTTTCTAAAACTCTTGAGCAATTGTGTCTAATTTACAAGTGATAAGATAAGAATTAAGAACTTGTAAATTAATTTTAAAATTCCAGATATTTTTAAATTACAATTTTAGTTGTAATAACATGCTCCAGTACTTATATATGTGGTATATAAAAATCTTTTAAAAGAATTTTGCTTTCAGACTAGGAATCCAGAATATATTTGGATACGTTTTGTTTGCACAGATGTTTAGGAAGAGGAAGATTAATAAATAATTCTGTGACAAGAATAAATACAAATTGATAGATTTTTTTTTCCTAAGAAATAACTGAAACTATACTAGCTCAGTGGAAAACACTTGAATAAAAATTAAACTAGATAATTCTAGATACTTAAAAGAATTATTTATATTGAAAGATTGAAGAAATAACTAAATTTTTGCATCTTTTACGAGATAAAGACCAAAGAGCTTGCATAAGGAAAGTATAAATGCTACTGTAGTCAATGTGCATAGAGGGACATGATCCATCAATTGATTATTATAGTTAGAATTTTAATTTTGTATGCTTTCAAATTTATAAAGTGGCATTATTTGTATTCACCATCATGCATATAGTGAGACAAACATTACACACAATGGCTAGCATCATTTATATATATATAAATATTGCATACAATGAAAAACAGTACAGGGTGAATACAGAATAACTTTAAAATCCAAACTACTACTCAGAGTCTGACAAAGTCAGGATGTTCAGTGTAAATCTAAAACATTCTAAATTATCTTTATTGATGAATCATATTGTATATAGTAGATAAGTGAATTACTCATCAGTATATAGTTTAATAAAAACCTTATAATAAATTCTACAATATTGCAATATAACATTATGATTGCAAATATCCTTGTTGATTCATATGACTCTCTTCATTTATGACTTTGTATTACTCTATTACTCATACCAGATGGATCATCATAATTACCAGTATACAGAATATTACATTTGCTAGTACCTCTTGATAGTGATTTAATGTAAAAGAGTTTTGAAAAATTATAATTATGTGTCATTTATAAAGCATTAGTAAATGGAAATTTGATTTTAAAATTTATAGTAGCTCCTTCTTATATTGCATATGTAGGAAGACAAACCAAATGAGCAATATGTGGGATGGCGTGATATAACTGACGTATCTATTGGCTAAAGCACTTTATATGTTTGGAAGATTAAAAAAATTAGTGATATCTGAATGAGTGATATAACAAGGATCTATTGTATTACCAGTAGTTAAATCATTATGAATTGATAGTATTTATTAATAATAGTTTTGAAATGACTACGTTCATAAATCTGGCTATTTTGTCAAATCACCATTGATTTATTATGCAATTTTCTTTGCCAGTTCGATTTTGGAATGCTAATTAAATAGAAGAGTAAATTACAATGTGAAGTATTAGAACAGACAAAACAGCAAAATGAGCATGATGCTTGAATAATCAATAGAGGATCCAAAAAATCTTTTAGAGGGATTAAGGAAAATTATAAAATTTTTTAATGTCCCAAAGTACTGGACTTTACACAGAAAACTCTCAGAAGGGGATGTGCAGGGCAATGCCTGCACTCCAAACTGGAGGTGCAGCTGCAGGGCTACCCTGTGAATAATAGAATATAGAAATAAACATTTAGATATTAAAACCAAATCTATCATTTGTGAAACAGTACCAGTAATGATGTATAATATAAAATCATGGAAGACATAGATCAAAACAAGACAAATGATCCAGATAGGAAATGACATTTTGAGGAAAATAGCAGGAGTTACAAGGCTAGATGAATTAAGGAACACTGAAATAAGCACAGAGGAGACTGAATTGGAACATGTACAAAGACAAAGGGAAGAGACTATGGAGAAGTTTGAGAAAAATATTCAAAAAAATACAATAGAGAACTCTACAGAATAAATGAAGACAACCAGTTTGATCCTTTTTTTTTTACTTAAATTTGGAACAAAATAAGATGTCAATCACTAGGAACCAGGTCTGGTGAGTAGGAAAGATTGCAAAATTTCTTAGACAAAGCTATTAATTTTCTATATTGTGACTGCTGCAGTGTGTGAACAGACATGATCACAATGCAGTATTGCATTCATTTGACTAGAGCTAGCTGCCAAACATTATTTTATAGGAAAATCCTTTAATTTTAGTCAAACCATCCTTGTCCTTTATTGAAACAAGAAAGGATGCAGTTTGTCCCTTATTTTCATTTTTCAATGCCTTTGCTTCATAATGGCAGTGGTGGATTTTCACACGGGCATATGTCACCCTTACGTATTAATCCACATCATTCCCCATAGAAAGTTATGATTTATCATCATAATCTCTTACTATTCAATGCAAAAATGATGTGCAATTTTGTCTTTTCAACTAAGCAGTAGAAATTAATATGAGCTGCTGCTCCTATCATTAGTTGTGTCATGGAATATCCACATTCCTTCATTAATTGCCTTACCTGGTGTTTTTAAGTGTTTAAAAATCATTGAATGGGATCCATTTATTGGTAATTTGATTTCTACGACACACAAAACATTTAGTTGTGGATTAGATTCAATTAATTCTGTCAGAGTCAGTGACACAAGAACATTTGTGGTTCATTAGTGAGGTTAAAGTTGCCACTATGAAATTTTACCAACTATCTTTGGCACTTTAACATTTATAACATCTTCACTAAACACTTTATGCAAGTTTTTAGCAATTATTGTTATACAGGGTGTCAAAAAAGTTCCTGTGCAGCAAGAAATTTGTAATGTTACACATACGGCATTGCATAAAAGACCTATAAGTTGTACGTTCTGTATTTCCACTTTTTGGTAGATGGCATTGCTGCTTGCTCACAGATGTTTGGTTTTGGACTAGAGTTTTTGGAAA